GCACCCGTTTGGGGCGTCCCCATTGAACGAGATAGGGAGTGACGACTAGGAGTTGGACTCTCAGCATTTGATTGGCTCGGCCGCCAAGAGTTGGATGGTTGACCAGAGTTGTGAGGTGATCTCTCCGGTGTGGCTTTCTCAGATGAAGTAGCCTCCGAAGATGAGGAAGAAGGTGGACCCTTCTTTGAGGGAGAAGATGGAATTATCTTCGAGGATGTTGGGCCTTTCTTCGAGGAAGAAGGGTCGTTCTTTTTGGCGCTCTTCCGCTCTTAGTCATGTTGCTAAGATGATGGATTTTTGGCTTGCTTTTTGAATGTCTTCCCCACAGACGGCGCCAAATTATTTCGGGTGAAAATAATGGGTCCTTCGTCTGGACCTTTCTTGTGGGCTGAAGACTGGACTTGGCCCAAATGATGAGTGGGACGAGGGTTTTCTGCACGGCAAACAGACTAAAATGGCCTCGAGGGTTGCGCCGAAAAAGGCCCCTTCGATGCCGAAGTCAGTACAATGTTTCTAGAGAGAGAAAGTTGTGCAAGATAATTAATTGCTTGAGGCTTGAAGTGAATAAATTGAGAGAGAGTGAAGTGAAGGCTTTTATACCTTGCTTAAATAGATAAACTGAGGTTTGAAGTCAAATGGGCTTGTCACGTTGACTGGGCTTGATTAACTTGACATACTTGAGAGAGGGTTGAATCTTCTTTGGGGGATAATTAAATCATCTGTGGACTGACCCAATTAGGATAAATTGGACCCAAACAATTATTATCCCCGATATATAGCCCATAATAAATAGAAAGATGGTAGTGTCGACTACCAAGCAAGTAACAACCAAAAAGCAGGGACAATTGACAATTGTTGCTCTGCAACCTTGACACTGGATGACTCATGAATAGACACATAGCCAAACACAACATGTAACACTATCTATTTTCTAGCGGTCGACTCTTTTACTATCAATCTTTTACTTTGTATTATTCGAATGATTCTCTTAATAAAGTTTTCTGTTTTTTATATTACTATAGTAATAGTTCTATAAATAAATCTAATAAAAGTGGTATACTGGTATGTTTGTCCAAAATTCTAATTTGCAACTATGTACAACTTTTCCACCAACCCATAAGAAATTCAAGAACATCTTCAAGATATCACAAATTGCAGTCTTCAAAACTAATGTAAGCTCTTTGGTAAATGTTTTCCCATCTCTTTCTCTTCCTTTAGATCATCATATACATGCATTTTAGTTTTGTTATAATATAAATTACTTATTACTATGAGAATAGATCGTAGTGTACTCCTGATTGGCTTAGCTGATAAAATGTTAGATAATCAAAACTATGGTATCAAGATTGAGTCATGTCTATGTCACTCCCCTTATTATGTCGCTCATTTTTTTTTTTTTTTTTTTTTTTTTTTTTTTTTTTTTTTTTTGTATCGATACTAGTCATACTACATTCTTGACATTTTTTTGGGATGTTTTTATTATTGTTAAAAAGAAGCTAGGCATTCCTTGTACTTGACCTGTTCACGGATCGGATATCCGATTTGAAATGTGATTTTGGATCAGATATCCGAATACTCGGGTATCATAAACTGATATTCAAATCCGATTCGAAAATTTTGAATATCCGATTTCCGGATCGGATGCTTCGGATATCCATTATCCAATATTAAGTAAAATTGATTATGATTATGTTCTAAATTTCACTAATTCTACCGCTTTTTTATCGTTAAGTTGAACAATATATTTTAACAAAATAGTAGTCATTTTGCAATAAAAATTATCATTAAATATATTAAGAATATAATAAGTTAATAATACATGGTCAGTTTTATATGAACAATTTAAAAAATTTATATATATTTCCCTATTTTAGCTTTTATATTTTGGATATCGGATATGTGAAATTTTGAAAATTAATATCCAAATCCGTATTCGATATCCGCTTTTTCGGATCGGATATCTGATCCGAAATGAAAATTGGGATCAGATATCCAAAAATTCGGATCGATTGCGGATTGAATTATCGGATTCTCGAATTCTCAAATAGTTTTGTACAACCCTACCTTGTACTAGTAGGCCCAAAGATACAGATCTGAAGAGTAAAACCAATTCCAGCCCTTTTGAAATCATGATGCATTTCATCCTCTCAGTCCACACACATTTGGTATTCATTGTAGATTTGTAGCTGCATTTTTTTTTATTCAAAATTTTGGATTTGCTTCTTATTTAATGCCTATTTTATTTTTGAACGCACCCTAAATACAAGCATGCAACTATGCAAGCATAAAATGGTATTAGTTGTATCATACATTCATACTATCATTGTACTCCCTCTATCCCTTATTTTTTTGTCTCATTTGACTTTTCACGGTTTCCAAGATATGTCTTCAAACGTATATATCTTCATTTCTATATGCGTAAAAATTATAAAAACTTAATATTAATAAAATATATTATGTGATGATTCTAACAAGATCCCACTTGAATATATTATCACTTATAGATTAACGAGAATTCATGGTCAAAATTTTAAGAGTTTGACCCATATATTTGCAATGGGGCAAAAAATAAGGGACCGAGGGAGTATCATACATTCATACTATCATTGTAGGCTGCTAGGCTTTGTTAAGATAGGTGAGAACGCACCCTATCCAAGCATTCCAGTGAATAAGATTTTCAGATTTAATGGAAAAAATCATTTAGCCAAGCAATATTATTAAGGAAAATGATAAACTTAGTGGTAAGGGGTATGTATAAGAAGCTGAAAAAAAAACAGTAATTACATCGATCAGGTGTGATTTGTCATGAATTTCCAACTTAATTCTATTTTAGAAAATATATTTAATGCTTATACAGTTTTATACATAACCATAAGGATTATATATCATTACCATATTATTATTAATGCCTAATACTTTTTTATCCTCCCGCAAAATATAATTCAGATTGTGCTATTTTAAAAATATCAATGTCACCGTTAAATCATTAATTAATCCCATGTTAATTAAGATGACATGCTAAATAAAGCCGCTACACGTGTTAATGTGTTACCCTAATACTTGCCTTCTTGGACAAAAAATAGAGTATCACCGATACCAAATGAGTGAATTACCATTATCGGTTGATTCGTTTCCCATAGTTTATGCAATGAAACACGTACCAAAAAACCTAACTAAAGTGGTGACACTTGTTTATTTAATAACCAGTGTACTTGGCACCAAAATATCTTCTAGCGGTTGATGCGATTTTTACCAAAATTCCAATGCACTCGTATTTATCATTCATTGGTTACCAAAAATATGCATTTACGATTTATACCAATTCAAGGTTTTAGTTGATTATCGATATAATTAATTAGCTGCCTGGTAATTAATCTGTCACTTATATATCTTTCTCTTCTTTTATACTTCCTCCGTTCTAGTAATATTGTAACAACTGGACTTTTACACTATTCATTGGGCTTGTTTGACCACCACATATTATGATTTATACGTAAAGTAAAATATAGTCATGTAGGATCTTGTTAGATTCGTCTCGTAAAATAATTTCATAATATCAACTTTTTACAATTTTTACACTTATATAATTATAGATATGTAGCATATAAAATGTGTTTTGAAATGCGTAATTTCATCCTTGTTGTAATATTTGTGGAACAGGGGAAATATATCTTGATCAATTTTCTTTAATGTACTTCGTATTTAATACTACGTTTTTTTTTTTTTTTTTTTTTTTTTTGTTAAAGACTTCGTATTTAATATTCATCACGTATATCTTATGATCAATGCAGGCAATTATATCTCAATTGCAACATCATCACGTTGCGGCCGCATTGTAAAGAATTTAGAACTGAACTCGATGGTGTTACTGAATCTCGATTGCATCATTATCACGCTGCGACCGGATTTTGTTTATTAATCTTTTCATTGAGTCTGTAAGTTAAAATCAATGTATTATTTTTAATGTATAAAATATTCTATTACTCGATTCTATAGATTTAGTTGTCCTATTAGTAGTTAAATTACATCATCAAATGTAGAGCTATTTCTTGACAGTATCTTTGATGTTTAGGATACCGAAGATTATGGATCATTATACTTGGAAGTTCAACTTTTTGAAGACTTCAATCTCTTAGACGAATTGATGATGGAACAAATCAAGCATGCAATGACAGAGTTACAAATCCTGAGGCATTGCAATTCATTGTAAGTAAAATCATTCAATTTTAACTGTTCATAATTTCATTTGAATTTAGTGATTTAAATTTTGAAGTGCGGGTAATTTTATTTTATTTCACTTCAATAATCATGAAGCATTTCTTTTTTATTTCATTCATTTCATTACAATAGTCATGAATCATGAGATGAGGCAGATTTTTTTCTAACTGTCAGTAATTATGATTTGATTATTTGCATGAAACAGATTATTTCAGATACAGTTGATATCCATTGTTACTGCAAGTAATTTGTCTTTTTTAATTGAATCTTTTGCCACTTTATTTCATGATAATAAATTTATACAAGATTTGCCCCTAACAAAGGATGTTATTTAGGAAATTGGGAACTTATAGTATAATTGACTGGTTAAGGGTAAGATTACCTATGTTGTAATGGATCCTTGTGATTCTAGTCTATGACAAGATTTTGATATACGATATGAACACCTTAACTGACTAGAGGCCATAGAGGGGAGGTATAAATTTGGAACCTTATCAGTAGGATAACATGTCTTAGGCACCAACATAATGTACCTGTACCCGTCTGCCCTCGTCTGGATTCAGCTGTCAAGCTTCAGCACAATGTATGCTTTCACATTTCTGGGGATATCTTGAAGTTCCTCTTGCACAGTTGCACTACCTTTCTTGCTATCTTGAAGCAATAAATCTTGCATGACTACACTTACAAAAACTGTAGTCTTGAACTGCATGACTACACTTACAAAAACTGTAGTGGAGAGTGGAGACTAAGTCACATTATTAGTAACAGATTGCACAGGAATGTATTGACGAAGTAAATATACAATACATTAATCCTCACCATGTCTGCAAATTAATGCTTTATTACACTGCATCTACTTTATTAGAATTATTACACTGGTGTAGTATAGTAGTTAATAAATAGGTATGAACAGACGATCATAGTTTTACATATTGGGAGACAATGGAATCAAATGAGAATGCGAGTCCTCATCAGAAAAATAAGGAACTTTTATTGTATATAGATAGCCCAATTAGCATTACCAGTGCAAAGAAAAAATAAAATTAAAAATCCAAATGCTTAGGCTCATCCCCCTACAGCTGCTACCATAGCAGAGGAAGTGTTCTTACCGGTTGAGGGCATGATATATGTGCACCCACCTCCTCCACGTTGTTTGACTCTAAATCTGTTTGGTTTCGACAGTTGGAATTGGGCATCAATTTTGCAACCTGCAACCCACACAATCAACATAAGTAACCAATTATCTCACTGTTAGGCTAGGTCTTTTGATAGAGGAAGTGTTCTCACCGGCTGAGGGCATTGTATATGAGAACTCGCCTCCACCACGTTGTTTAAATCCACATCTGCGTTGTTTCCACTGTTGGAATTATCCATCAATATTGCTGCCTGCAAACCACAAAATTGACATAAGTAACCAAATTCCTTACTCTTAGGCTAGGGTCTTTTAAAAAGAGGAAGTGTTCTCACCGGTTGAGGGCCTTGTATATCATCACCCTCCACTCCCTCCTCCATCACACCGTTTAAATCTAAATCTGTATGGTTTCCTCTGTTGGAATTGCCCATCAATTTTGCAACCTGTAACCCACACAATTGACAAAAGTTACCAATTTCCTCACTCTTATCTAGGCTAGCTAGGGTCTTCTTTTTATCTAATATATATACCTCATCCTTCAGCTGTTCATTCTCTTGTTTCAGCGTCCTCTCCTGTTGAAGCAGTGATCACCAGATATAGTTAAAAAAGACGAGAAAAAAGGGAAGACAAGAGGGGAAAAAAAACAAAAACCTAAAACACAGTTGACATAAGCAGTGATCCAAATGGGGAAATGGTAATAATGGGCATGCACAAAGAATGCCCATTATTACTATTTCCCCATTTGGATCAGCTATAGTTGACAGGCCTGGGCAAGAAGTTGAGCCTGATCATAATGCTTAGACCTTATCCAACTATAACAAGATTAATATTGAGGGACAACTCTTCTAGGAATGTTCTTCCAAAGACCTACATATTCTCATCTGAAATTTCTGATCACTTTTGCTTTGAGTGAACAAGGAACTGTTTCACATGCTTCATACTAATGAAGAAGTCCCACTAACCTAGTTTTAGAATGAGGAGCAATTGGTAAAAAAAAATTGTCAGGAAACAGAAGATACTGCATCCACACCTTTTGAGTTAAATCCATAACTGAGCTACAACTATTCTGTATTTTTCACTTAAAGGAGCTTTATACAGCATAGTATCTTCTAATTTAATTGGGGCTGGGTTCTATTTATAGAGTTTGGTTGGACCAACCATCACATTCAACACTGTCTCTGAAATTCTGCATAGCTCCCTTGTTTCAGTAGTCTTGTTAATTGCGGTTGAATAGAGGTTCACAACTTGCTAACATAATATAGATTTAGTTGGCTGGAGCACTGAAGATAGGTACGCATAGCTCCTAAAAGAGGGATGTCAAAAGAGGGAACGGACATCAAATTTGTTGAACTTTTTGTTCACTGCATGCATTTTGAAGAGATGAAGCAGCAAGTATCCTATTGTAGTAGAATAGAATAAAAAATGTCAAGGATACTCTAGGATTAGTTCCATAGGTTCTAGTTTCATCCTGTACTTACAAGATAGTGTGTCCAAGATAGGGAAATGAGAGATGAAAAATATTGCCTGTTGGTGGGTATCATGTCACTGCAATCACTTCGCAAAATTCATTTGTCCACCAAAAAATGGACTACAAGCTACATATGCTTATCAAAACTGATTGGGTGTCCCATGTGAATTGAACGGTACAAGCAGTCCCTCCCATTGCCTATCAAGATCCACCCACCTACCTTATGGTGAGAATAAAGGGCAATATAGATGAAAAGAACATTGCAATAGAAACTTATTACAATCACGAGGATCTGCATCCTTACAAGTGGTTTTAAGGAATTGCAGTGGAAATGGTAAGCTTTAGGATGCTTTCTACTTCTTTGTTGCAGTGCTGCAAGTTCTAGACATAGATCCTGGTAAGGAAAGATGACCTGGCAAGTCTTTCCTTTGACTAGTTAATAAGTCATTATATAAATGGGGATGCATCTACATTGGTAAATAAGTACAACTTTACCCAGAAGCTGAAAGTACAACACATTATTCTTATCAGATACAAGAAGTCTGGAAGAGGAAATTGCTGTACCTTTTCATGTAGTGCAGCCACAGATTCTAGCATAAGCTGAGCCTGTTAAGAACCATCGTATCGAAGTCAGTGCAAAACATTTGATAAATATTGAATGGCGATCAAGAATCTACCCAATTGTTAAGCAATGAATTGTGTGGTGTCTAGTTTAACATTGCTTGAGAAAAGATTTTAATGACCCTCCTTGGTTCTCCCCCATTATTTCCCCTCTTTGGCTTCTGCCAACCTCACCATTTTCATCCTTAGAAACTGAGGTGAGAATGGATCGCCCATGAAACCTCAAAGAAAGATGAAGCAATAAACAGAAAAGGATAAGAGGTTCTTATGTGTATAGACTACAGACTGCTCACAAGAACGCAACTGGACTGGGGTAAGATTTAGTATGGCTATGAGATTAGATATTAGTTTAGCCTTTCTGAAGTAAAATGGTTACTGGATGCGAATGATAACAACCAAAGGAAATAGAAGGGCCAAGAGTTATGATTATGTATGGCTGAACATTTCAGTGAAGAAATTAAAGCATTCTGTACGATACATAGTGCAATATGTACTCTACACAAGAATGGATTATTTTCCTGTTTCTAGTGAGCATATTACACATCTACCAATCAGTAAATTGGGAGCTTGACTACACCACACAAGAGTAGCCAGTGCTGTTTGATATGAGAGAAATTTGCTCATGATGATAAAGTAGTTGCAAGAATTATGCTATGAAGCTCCTTCAAGTATGAAAGTTGCAAGATTAATAAAGAAAGAATATAAACTAGCCACATAGTAGCTCACTAACCCAATGGCCAACTCAAAAAAGGAGAGAGAAAGGATAACAAGGGCAAAGGGGGACCTTTCGGTTTCTGGTCTGTAGAAGGGCATCAGCTAGTTGCTTCTCCAGCTGCATGAAATCATCCAGACTAAGTTTCTCAATATCTGGGCCTTCTAGATACCTGCAAGGTTAAAATAAAAAATTATGGAACAAAGAAGTGCATCTTCAGAAGCAGAAGCAGATAGACATTTAATACTTGCCTTTCAACTGTGTTTACTAGTTCACTACATGTTTGGACTTCTGTGCATGTAGAAGGGGAACTCTGGTCACAAGGAAAAGAACACCAAATTTGTTATAATTGAGGGAAAAGGTCAAGAGAACTATGAACATTAATGAATATTCAAAGCATGAAAAATCATTCCTGGCCTAGAATAAGAATGATGCTCGATAGTCGATACAGAGAATTCAGAAACTGTCAGTAAAAGGAGTGAAGGACTATCGATAATGTCTACAAGGACGATCAATACTCTAATGCAAGAAGAACCTATCCTATGCCTAGACTTTATAAATAATCTCTATCCACACTAACATCAATACCTGCCCCTGGTAATTCCAACCATGATAGCTGATGGCAGCTACGGAATGGAACAGTAATAAGAATACAAGCACAGCCATACCCCCCACCCCCCTCCAGAATTAGTACCACACCACTAACTACTTGAACACAAGCAGAAAGACACTATCAAGGAATCAGGTGTGAGCTGTGAGTAACAGTGTACACCATCAGGAAAGGCAAAAGATTGAGAACAGATATCTCAACACTAATACCAAAACCTGTCTTTAGACTGCAAATTGCATAACAAGGATTACACTGAAGGCATTCTCATCAATGTCATTCTCTAATTTATTACCAACAATTCAGTCATCAATGGTTATGTGCAATCATAAAGTAGTATTAGTGATGCCATATCATCCTATATGATGTACTAAAATACCGCATAGAGTAGCCTTTAGCATACAGTCAGAACAACTAATTCATCAGGATTTGTCATGTATAAAAGACTTGGGAGTAGCAGTGGAATAATACATGAACATAAATGAGATGTTCATTACCTCTGTTTCATCAACAACCATTGAAGCTTTCCCATCTGTGGCGATAGAATCTTGGTAGCGCTTAAGAATCTGAGACAAACTGAACAAGAAAAACCATGTCATAAACCATAATATTAAGGCAAGTCAAACACACATACAGGAGCAGGGTAAGCCCTTGTACTCTAAACCGAATGAAAGTTTCAAAAATCATCAAACCAACAGAATTTTGTGCTATTTATGGAGGACAAGCCATAAAAAGAGTTCAGGGGATCCAAAATACTAGCAGTAAGAGTTTAAGTGACAACTCTTATGGATATCACCTGTAAATGTAAGTTAGAGGGTGGTTAGAGGCCAAGAACTAAAAGGAACCTGTTGAAGAGGAATAACTACATTGAGCTTGACTGACTAGATATGCCAAATAGTTGATAGGTGAAGGATTTGTCTTTTTAACATCTGACCTTATTCGTTAGATCCCATAAAGTTTTATAAGATAACTTTGATACATCATCACAATCTTAGTTGGAGCTTCTTTAACAATGACAATGGACATAGAGACTATATTTTGCTACCTATAACTTCTTGTATATATAGAGGTCAATAATGAAAGAAATATGAGCCAACTACAAAGAATGTGGAAGTAGAAGCAACACCATTGTGCATAGTTTTAAATTAATGAGAAAACATAGGGAAGAAGATGGTCAAATCTCTCTTTTTGGGAGGGCAAGTTTTCGACCATAAAGGTTTAACTTCCTTCATATGATATGCTAAGGCCCCTTAGTACAAAGAGAAATGGTCTATCTATGATTTTTCCTTTCCTTTTCAAAATCCTTTCTCCCCTAATGAGTAAAGATTTACTACATTTACTAAAAATGGTTGCTATACATTATGTGCAACAAATGTTTTCTTTCCTTTTTAAGTTGTCATTTTTCTCTACCTCTCTCCTCATCACATGCATCACTATCTTTCTCTCTCTATATAACATTCACAAGAAAATTTTGTCTAGGAGTCTTTGCAAAATCATTTGTTGCATATACTGTGGAAGAGAGGTAGTAATCAATTTCATAGTGAAACCAAACCTCGTCCAATTCCAATTAGATTATTTATACATTGGAAAAAATAGGCTTGGTCAATGAGGATTTCTCTTTGACTAAAGGAAATAGTCCTTATGCTCTTAAGGATTTTTGACAATATTGTTGTACTCTTAATGCAAAGGGAGGGTGACTAAACTTGAGCTACGAAGATTTCATTTACATCCATTGTTCCTATGCTTATTTAGAGACATTATCTAGATTAAAGAGAATTTATTTTAGGCTTAGAGCAAAATAGCCCCAAATCGCTGGAGAGTAAGAAGTGGAAGAATGTGTAATAGCTATGTAAAGTGTTAATGGGGATAAGATCCCGACCAAGTGAGTGAAATTTCTATCCGAGTCTTACTTGTGGTATTAAAATCCCGATTTAAATCTTAGAATCTTACAATTTTACGATTCATATATATCATACGAATCGATTTACGATTCTACCCGATTTTACATATTTCTCCTAATTAGTGAAATTCTTACAAGTTTAAAACATGTCTATAAAGTTATTTATAAACATATATAGTCAATTATTGGTTGTTTAATGGGTAAACAACTATTTTCTATTAATAATTAGGTTTTTAACTCATAGTTTATGTATATTTAATTAAATTTGGATATGAAGTCTTTATTATGCATGTCCGTAGAATCTTACGATTCTACGATTCGATTCTAAGAGCCTCTTTCGATTCAAAGTAGAATCCTGATTTTAATAACTTTGCCGGCGACAATTCAGTATCACGGAATGGTATATGGCAACAAATGATTCTTTATCTTTCCGAAAAAATTGTCAAAGGATTTATGTGCTCAAGTCCTTAAAAAAAACTTCCCAACCTTATATATTAGGATCAAGCATTTAGGACCTTAAGTTGTCAAAGTCAAGCTCGAGCTCACCACTGTCGAGCTCGAGCCGAGCCTACTCGGTCTTGGCTTGTCACACTCTAGTCATACCCATTTTACACATGATAGGATATATAAGTGACCCTTTCAAACATCCTTTTTATACTTTTGATAAAAAAAAAAAGAAAACAAAGAGTTTGTGCATCATGTAAAAGTTGACATATAAAGCAAACTCATAAAACACTTTAAGGTGTAAGAAGAGGAAAATATGGAAATAACATAATCAAAACCTTAGGGAGGGAAAGGTAAGAAAAGCACCTTCGAGAGACATATCATACATTTTGTTTCATGAACACTTTTTGGAGTTAATTGTTCACCTCTTAGATCTTATCATTCTAGGTACTTACATAAAGCTCTTACTGTATCTTTGTTCTTGTTCTAGTTCTAGTTCAAAAATTAATATGTATAATTACTCAACTTTTAATCATTTCTCAAACTTTAATTTTATATAATACATCACACAAAAGGAATTGTGTCTTTCAGTCTTCAAATATTTTTAGATTGTGTCCTTTAAACTTAATTCACAAACTGAAGGATTTCTCTTAATTTTTTCCTTGAAACACATTCTAAGAGTATTTGATATATTAAGCTTATTACTTCAGCTTATTATGAGCAAGTAGTTTAAATGCAAAAATAAATAAGGGGATTACTTCCCCATTCTTGTTAGCAAAATACAAAACTTATTTAGCACTTAGAGGGATGAACATGGTATGAAAAGATAAAGACCTTTCATTCTTTAGCCTTGTTCCTAAAGTTTGATGTAAATACTAAAAATTAAATTGATAAAATAGGTAATGAAGCTAGAAAAAAGAGTTTCATGCACATATCTAGGGTTTTCTCTCTTTTAAATTAATCCTTTACACATCAAAATCGTGTAAGCATGTAAAAGTAGTTTTTACCGATATATCATCCAAAATGCAAGAAGTTCGTTCTTCCATAGGTTTGATGAACATTAGATTTTCTCTTAATGTTAAAGGATCATTTAAACCGAAAGCTTAAGCTTATGGTTGAAGCCTAGGATTGATTTATATACACTTATCATGCCCCCTCACATGAGAGCCCTTTGGGCTTGAAATGTAGATGTAGCATGAGTTTCCTCATATCTAGTGCGAAATATTCCACTTGAAAGAAGAGGTGGATGAGATTTGAACCCGTGACCTTGTCATATTGGCTTTGATAACACTAAAGGAACATCTTAAAGCCAGGATCGGTTTATACTTTATTCGTCCCTTATTGTTGCTCTATAGAGGTAATGTTAATTAATTTTTGGTTGATTGGAAAATAATGAGAGTGAAAAGTGGTAGGGTTAATGGGGTGGTTGTGAGAGTAAAGATCTGGTCCCATACGTCTAAAATAGAATGGGGCAAAATCAAAGGGATGGACTAAAAAGGAAATTAGGGCAAAAAAATAAGGGACGGTGAGAGTATACTCATATTGTTAAATACAAGTATGGGCCAAACCCTTCATCAGAAAGTCCACTTCACAAGTTCGAGAAGGTTCCTTCCCAAAATCATATGGCAATAGGAAGAGTAGCCCCTTAACTTTATAAAGTGTTATAACTCCTTCTTCATTCATTGATGTGGGGCGCTTACATGAGGTGCTTGGTAAGAATATGCCTAAACACTTATTTCAATGAAATCTTTACTTTTTATCACCTATAAACACATTATATTAAAACAAATCAAAGCAGAAATTATAAGAAATCTTCCTCCCAAGGTCTCAGGTAAATGAATAAAAAAGGTAAAAGATAACTAAAAGGATATTAAACAATGTAAGATAATGTGAAAAAGACAATTACAAAGGGGGGTTATAATGTATTAATTTGAAGATCCTAATAAATATCCTTTGTGCAAGGTAAAGAAGAATCAAACATACAAGTGAAGAGTTTGTTCTCATTTAACATTCGATTTATGAAAGTTGATTTGTAATGGATATATAATTTTGCCCAAACCAACATGCTCATTGTTAAGACTACCAACTAAACAATCAACTATACATTGTCCATAATAGTATCTAATCACTCATCTATACCTAAGGAAGGCCACAAAGATCGTTTCCGATTCTTCCCCAAGTTAGCACACATCAATGGTTTTGAAATTATATCTCGTGTACTTAACTTTTAAAAATTTCATATTATGAATCAAGGGTTTTTAAGTATATTATTAATGCCTTTAATAAAAATCCTTTTAGTATATTTCATATTATGAATCAAGGGTTTTAAGGATATTATTACTGCCTTTAATAACAAACGGGGTTAGTTTATAACCGACCTTGTAAGTTTTTGAAAGGTTTAACTAAATATTGGAGTAGCTAAATATTCTTAAAATTTGTTAATGCATTGTTCATGTCTAATGTTAATGATGGAAGACTTTTGTTGAAGCTTCATTCATAATAGACTTTGAAAATATATTAAATATCATTCCACTAAGCATTTGAACTAAGGCTAATTACCTAAGGTAGAATAAAATTTTAATATTTGGATATCCACTATAGCCTTAAAAACATACAAATGAATCAAAAGCAATTTCATTTTTGTATGTATCAAAGTAATTTCACTTTTTTACAAAAGTTTTAATGAAAGATCATGAACTTAAAATATATTCATGGTGTAAAACTTGGAGACTATGTTCTTACAATAATATGACAATTGAGGATTCATTTGTGTAGTTAACAATATTGTGGTACAAAAAAATCTTCAAAACTTAATAATTATCATGAAAAAAGAAAATTGCGATGTGTTTTTTTTCCTTTAAGTGGTTTTTACACATCTTTGAATCTTGCTTTTGTACCATTTGCAATACTTTCTCCTTCTTGTCCTTCTAGTGAATGCGAAAATGAAATGATTGATGCCCTTATCAAATAAACAAACAAACAAGACCATCATGAACTTTCATGTTAACATAATCAAAATTTCATTACTATCACATCAAAGGAAATAATGCTTCTAATGTTTCAAATACGTAACTTATAATGTAATCGACATAAAATTTTAGAAGCACTCATACATCACTTAAGCAAAAAGTCTAATGCATTTCTTATGATTAGAACAACAAACGAATAATTGATATGAAACTCATATTTAAAATTTCACATCTATGATTATTGAAGCGGAGGTAAAAGGGTC